GTGAACCAGTGCCAGCAGTTGTGCAGGCATCAGTACCTCTTCCCATTGCTGCACACTCGTGTTGCTCACCTCTGGGGCAGCTCAGTGGCTCAACAGTGGCTGCCCTGCTGCAGGCCATACCAGCAGGGCAAGGCAGGCAGGCACTGGCCCCAGGCACAGGGCTGAATGTGCCAGGCTCACAGGGCAGCTCTAGCACAGTGCCTGCAGGACAGTAGAAACCACTGGGACATCTGTATCCATGAATCCCATCAGAAGGGCAGGGAGCAGAGTTTCCTTCCAGGCAAACATAGCTGTAGAGAGAGAATTCAGACCTGAAACAAAGAGCTCACAGCCCTGTTCTGGGGAAATAGACGGGGGAGGCAATAATCAAGAACCAAGGGTCACCACAGTAGAATCATGGGAGGGTTTGGGTTGGAAGGGACCCTCAAAGCTCATCCTGTTCCAACCCCCTTCAATGAACAGGGACACCCTGCACTATAGCATGTTGCATAAGAAACATCCCTTGGAAATCCAGGTTATTTCAGTTTTGATAAAACCAGTGAAATAACTTCAAAGATTTTAAGACAAATCCTGCTATTTTGCCCCAGGAAGCGAGTGTCTGCCCATACCCTGCGTTACACGGCGAGGTCTGGGCCGGATCAGACAGTCCTGCCCCACTGCAGTAGCGTCCAGCCGGGCAGGGCTGGCACTGCTCCTCTGCCTCCAGCCCCACCATGCTGGAGAGGGAGCCAGGAGGACAGGGCACAGGGTATTCTGTACCACGGGGACAGAAGTGCCCTGCAGGACAGATGTCATTCCCGGGCAGCCCAAGGCTGGAAGATTCCACCTGCATCAATAAAACACAGAGGAGAGAAGTGTTACTGAGAGACTTGGCACCATGTGCTACAGACAAGGTTCTGGAAAGGGCACAGAGGAGCAGAGTTCACAGTATGCTGGAGATTGGAAGGGACCTCAAAAGATCATCTAGTCCAATCAACTATAATATCCCAGATCGGTTTGGGTTAGAAGGGACCTTAAATCTCCTCCAGTTCCAACCCCTGCCACAGGCAGGGCCACCTTCCACTAGAGCAGCTTGCTCCAAGCCCCTGTGTCCAACCTGGCCTTGAACACTGCCAGGGATGGGGCAGCCACAGCTTCTCTGGGCACCCTGTGCCAGCGCCTCAGCACCCTCACAGGGAAGAGCTTCTTCCTTATCTCCAACCTGAACTTCCCCTGTTTCAGTTTGAACCCATCACCCCTTGTCCTATCACTACAGTCCCTGATGAAGAGCCTGTATCCAGCATCCTTGTAGCCCCCTTCAGACACTGGAAGCTGCTCTTAGGCCTCCACACAGCTTCTCTTCTCCAGGCTGAACAGCCCCAGTGTTCTCAGCCTGGCTCCATACAGGAGGTGCTCCAGCCCCTGAGCATCCTCCTGGCCCCCTCCTCCTCCAACAGCTCCATGTCCTTCTGATGTTGAGGTCCTACAAGTCTGCTGCTACTGGAACTAAACAAAGACCACAGCTGGCACTGGCTGCCAAGATGTGGCTATCCCATCCCTGTGTCATCTCCTGGAGGATGTATTAGACACGACACCTCAGTGCAAGCTACACAGGGGTCTGAGCAGAGTTTATTTGTGGGCAGCAACACATTGCAGTGGACATCAAGAGCAGCGGCATGTCACAACATCTGAGGAGCTCTCAAGGACAGCGATAAAAGGCACAAGCAACCCCACAGAGAGCAGAAATGCTTGGAAAACATTGCCCCAGAAGGGACAGGTCCCCATGTCACCGGGTTTACTGTGCTGCTGCCTGGCACTTACTCACCCTGTGTTTGAATGGGGCTGGGCTGATGGCTCCCTTGGCACAATGATAACCTGAATAGCAAAATCCAGATGGCTGTGACAGGCCTGGTGCTGAGCAATACATGCCTGCAAGGAGCAGAAAAGCAATCTCAGTGTGAGGGCCTGCACAGAAGATCAGCGGAGGAGCAAATAGCATGAAGGGAGAAGTATTCCTCATCCTTCCCATCCCATGTATGGCCCTGGGCCGCTTGTGCCAACTCCCTGCTCACCTGTGGGGCAGGGCTCACAGTCAGACTCATTGGTGGCACCACTTCTGGGGCCAAAGGTGCCCTTTGGACATGGGTGCTCCAAACTGGAGTTGGTGCCGGGCAGGCAGAAGTACCCAGCAGGACACACCTCAGGAGTATGCGCTCCAGAGCCTAGGACACAAGCACAGCACCTTGCTCAGGGGAGGTGACAGGAGCTGCCTATGGCTTTAGGAGCACAATCCCATCTAGGGAGCTGTGCAGCCCCATTCCGTGTGGTTCATCTTGTTGCATGCATGAGCAGTGACACAGTAAGAGCTTCGAGAAAGATTTGGCTTCAGCCTACTTGTTCACCCAACAACCCCATGGGCTTTGAAACGGGTTTTGCCTTCCATTCTTGGCAGAAACTGCTGCCCCTGCATGTCCAGTCCAACCCACACTGACTTAGCAGAACCTTAACAGAAGAAAGGCAGCATTCAGAATAACCTTTTATTGTCTGTGTCACTAACAGGCAGACTCAGCCCTAAACGACATGGAATCCCTTTTACCACAACACACAGCCCCCCCTTCACACTCCTCACAGGAGAGTCCTGCTGGGCAGAGGTCACAAAGTCCTTCCTCTCCTGGGACTGCTACGCCCCATTCTCACAGGGTATAGGAAAGGCAGATCCCACTGGGCAGTAAAAGCCCCGTGGGCAGTGATGGGGGTTACAGAAGTCTGGCCAGGGGTGCAGTTGTAGCCTGCAGAACATGGTCCTTCAGAACTGGTTTTACCCAGCTCTGCAATGACAAAAGCAAACCCCTTCCTCTTCCTTTGCCAGATCAAAGACAATGGAAACCCTTAGCTCCTGAAATCACCATCTCCATCATACATACATGCCTGTAATACATGTCAGAAAGCAGCAATTCTCTGAAGTTCAGCCTCAGACAAAGGACATCTTATTGTACAGGAAAGTAAGCTCTGAATTATCTGCCTGGTTTAACACAGGCTTCCAATTCAATGCTCAGCTGTGAGTGACGCTCTCAGTTGTGGTTCCAGCTCTGCTAGAAGCTTTGTGTTAGCTCAGTCAAGTCATTTCCTTCCTGCTGCTTCAATTCCTCACCTGAGAAAGTCAAAGCCTCTTTGTCTCACAGAAGGTGGTGGGTGAAGCTCTTACTGTCAGCGTGACCACAGACATTGCAGTGCTGGCTGGGGAGCACAGAAACATCTTGCACAGCCAGATGGTAAGAACATCAGAAGAATTCAGAAGAAGCTGCAGAGACCCTGGCTGTTAGCGAGCACCAAGGGCCCGTTTGCTGAGCTATTTTGTTTTCCTGAGGCCAAAGACACAATAGGCATCTAGAAGAGGTGGCTGAGCCAAGGGAGAAAGGTGTGATAACAAGCAAGAAGTGTTACGGGTGACCTGAGACTGCTACCGAGATCCCAACGTGAGTTTTGGGAGACAAATGACTTGGGGCATTTATATTGGTGTACATCCTGCATAAACTGCTGCTAACCAAAGAAGATGTGTGGCACTAACCGAGTTTCTTCTTCTGTACCTGCTAAGCATGAGCTTGTAAGGATAAAGCTGCAGTGGGTGTCTATCTTGGCTCACATTGTGTAACTCACCCCTGCAGAAGTACCCAGCTGGGCAGGGCTGACAGGCTGCAGGCTGCCATTTCCCACTGTCTGGGTTGAAGCTTCCAGGACTGCAAGGGACTGGGGATTCAGAGCCTTCAGGACAGTAGAAGCCAGGGGGGCAGTGCTCCTGATCTGGCTGCGTGGCTCCACGGTGACAGAAATACCCAGCGTAACATGTTCCTGCAAGGGAGAAAAGCTCCTGCATTAGGTTTAAGCAATGAGAGAACATCAAGAAAGCCAATCCTGGGAGACAAGAAAGATGTCAGATGCACGCAATACACACCAGAAACACTGGCCAGGCCTTCTCCTTGGCAGAACCTCCCCGCAGGGCAGGGCACGCAGGCATTACCATGACCCATCCCAGCCTGAGGCAGAAAGGTGCCAGCGGGACACGGCTCTGGCTTGCTGCTGCCTGGTGGGCAGTAATGTCCTGCTGGGCAAAGGCTGCCTGCCTCCTCATGGGCAGGATTGGGGACTCGAGCCTCTGAAGTGCAGTAATACCCAGGCAAACAAGGACCACTTGGGGAGGAGAGTCCTAAAGACAAGGAGCATAAAACATAAGCCAGTGGCGTGATGTAAATCACAGCTTCTGGACTAAACAACCCAGCCAAGCCTTGTCAGCACAATGATTGCAGAGTCTGATGGCCCCTTAAAAGCTCAATCCAGGGTCTCCGTATTCACTTACCAGGTAGCTAAAGGCTTAAAGAGCTTTCTAGATCATCTTCACAGATGGGGGGGCTTGCTCTATCCACTAAGAGGCAACCGAAAACTAATGAGTCCCAGAACCCAAGCTGCTTGGTTTGTGGTTCCATCATCTTTGCTTAACCAGATGCACCTCAATCTGCCTCTTTCATTCAGCTTACAAAAGAAAGACTGCAAAAGTCTTGGGCATGATCACAAAGAATCCTGCTCAAGGGGTCCCAGAGCTCACTGCAAATGCTACTTCAAAGTCACATAAACCGCATACAGAAGAGCACCCACTGGAGAAACTGGGCTCTGCTCCACACAAACCAGCCTAGGATTCTATGTAACCCATAGGTGATTCCTACCTGCACTGGCACAAAACATGCCTCCAGGACAAGGCTTGCATTCCCTGGCATTTTCCAGCCCAGTTTGGTTGCTGTAGGTGCCCTCTGGGCATGGGTATTGATTGGCAGCTTTTGTTCCTGGCAGGCAGTAGTACCCTGCTGCGCATTCTACTGCCTTGACCACACCATGTGGGAAGCTCTGGAGATCACCCGGATGGGCTTCTAGGGCACAGAACCTGCCCAAAAGAGCCCAAGTCTTGCCTCAGGCCAGAAGTCCTGCCAGAGGCCAAGAAACTTGTGCACAACAGTGACAGTCTAAGACTCCACAATAAAAGGAAAGTCAATTACATGGAAGGAAGTAAATGGAGAACCAAGATGCAACCTGTCAGGGGCATTTTGTCCATCCCAGCAGACAGAGCTCCCAGGATGGGTTTTCTATGGTTCACAGACTGTGGTACAGAAAAATGACACAGTAAAGGGAAAGGTGATAACAGAAACAAGAAAACCAGCCCTGTGTATCAAAGGATACAACACACAGAGCAGTCTAAGGCAGAGGGAAATGCACATGCTAATTCCTAAGGAAAGCATCAAGAGCAAGGAGAGAATCCACTTCACTTACATCCCTGCTGGGCATGATTCACACTGGCTTTTCCCAGCCTGATCCTGGTATTTTCCAGAGGGACAGGGTATGGGCTCTGGGCTGCCAGTGGGGCAATAGTGACCCACAGGACACAGATAGTCTAGGAACAAAGAAAGAAACACACTTGTAATGTCACTGCTCTGCTTATGTGCTGAACAGCTCTATAGTGCCATGAGGGGAAGCACCACCACACACCTAGAACTGGAAGATTTAATAGGATATAAAATCTTTATAAAGCCATTCTGCACTGCCACATGGTTCAATAACTTCCCCTTCAGAGCCCCATGGATGTTTTTAATCCATCAGAATCTGAGTTACACTTATGCGTATATCACTCTTATGAAAGAGAGAATAGACAACTGCTTATGCATCTTCTTGCTCTCTTTCTAACAAAGGTGAAAATATCGCATGGAATAAACTTCTCTTGGGATATTGTTTTCAGCTTGGGTTTTGCCTTGGTAAGATCCCCTATTTTTCCTACTACATTTACACACAATTTACACACCACTAAACCTGTGTTGCAAACGTGTTTTAATCTAAAGAACTAGTCATTTCTAAACGAGACTTGAAAGCGTAACTAAGGTCAGATTTTAAGCCCTGTGCCTCCTGTAGGTAAAGAACGACCCAAAGATTTCCTACCTGAATGCTGGGCTGACACAGAGCCCTCTGGGCAAAACCATCCTTCTTTACACAAGCCCTCTGGGGAGCTCTGGCCATGCTGAGAGCAGAACCACCCTGGGGAGCAGGACTGGCAATCCTGTGCTGACTGGCCCCCATCATGAGCCAAAAAGGAGCCTGGAAAGAAAAAGCCATCAAAAGCACATCCTCTTGTCATCCTAGACTAAAGGAAAAGAGCGGGAGCTGCTCACACAGTAACTAACTACACCAGCCCCAGAAACCTCCTGCAGAAGATGCCAAGAGGATGCTGGCAAGGAAGGAATCCAAAGGGAGTAGAGTCCCCTTGGAGAGTAGATGACAGGTTGGTCCTGAGTGCTGGCTGCGCTGAATTCCTCTTTATTTCTGGTCTGGACTGAGCAGTGCAACCACTTGTGTAATGTAACAGGAAAGAAACAAACATTCCACAGTCTTTCTCCTTCAACTTAACCATCTGTCTCATGAATGGTGACGGTAAAGGACAGCTCTTGATGTGCAGGGAGGGTGGCACCAGTGGTGTGCTGGGCTGTGTGACCTCTCCTTCAGCATCATGTAGGCCACAAGCTGAGGCTTCTGAGGCAGTTTTGCAGCTACTCTCTGAGGGCACATCTAGGACTGCTTTTCCCAATACAACAGCACTGGATTAGAGGATGAGCTTTGTGCTGATAGCAGCTGTCCCTTGGGGAAATAAAGGGGCAGCAGGACAATGGTACAGCCTCAGGCTCAGCAGTGCACTGGGAAGAGAAATGGTTGAATGCAGCAGCTGCCATCAAACCTACCTGGAGGACATGCAGATGGAGAAGAACTCCCTGCAGGACAGAAGTGGCCTCGAGGACAAATGTTCCCTCCTGCTCCATCCATGGGGTTTGGGAGCGTTGAGCCCCCTGTGCAGTAGAAGCCAGCCTCACAGGGACCTGATGGAGCTGAGAGCTCTGCTGTTGCACAGTATGAACCTGATGCAGGGGTAGAAGCAAGGCTGCCATCTAAGAGTGCTCAGAACCAGTCCCAGCACAAGACTGGAATTGCCTACTGCTCTTGGCAAAAGGGAGAGCAGCACACATGGGCAAAACCCCATTTCTGCAGGAAGCAAACAGTCTTCTCCTACCTGGGGTGCAGGGAAGAGGAAGAAAGGACCCAGCAGGACAAAAGGTTCCTGCTTGGCACAAGCCAAGAGATCCAGAAGCTGGAGCTGCCATACCTGCTAATGGAAAAGACATAGACTGAGTTGAAACAGAAGAATTGAGAGTACTTAAACAGCTCAGGAAAACAGAACCAGAGTGCTGAAGGAAGGAAAGGAAACAGGAAAGTAACCCACCCTGAACTGCCTGGACCCTACAGGTGACTCTGTAATGCCACCTTCTCAATAACAACAGCCATCATGCTCTACCATTCCCCTTTGTACCAGAGTGATTGCCAAGAAACACTGGTTTGCTTGATGTGGATCCAGGTGGACAAAACCATCCAGGCATGCACAGTCCATCTGGTCTTGTCAGGCCTGGCTTGGAACAGACCCTTCCGGGAGGACACAGCTGGCACTTGGAAGTATCCCAGATATTTAAAGCTTCACTGTAGGTTCCAGGGGGACAGGGATACTGAGTGGCAAATTCTGTATTCCTGGGGCAATAGTGACCTAGGAAAGAAGAGAGAGGTTTCACAAAGGTTAACACGTGCTGGAGAATCACCAACCTAGACACAGCATTCTCTTCATCTGAGAAGGACTGATCCCAAGCTTCTCAGTTTTAGTGAGAAGGTCTCAAAGTGTACAATAAAGGTCAAAGCTGATGCTCTATTTACCATTTTCCTCATTCAGACAGGAGCCGAATCTCAAAGGAGCTTAAGTGCTTTGACCAAAGACATTGACCTGTCCATCTGCTGCATCATGCAACCAAGTCCAAGGGCAAATCCACTCCAAACAGCTGCCGGGGCATCTGCTAATCTCAGATTATCCAATCCCAAACTGTGCCAGGATGAGCGGGCAGAACGACCAGACCCACCTGCAGGACAGTCGGTGTAGTTTGCGGAAGCAGCCGTGCAGTAAAAGCCTTCTGGGCACTCCAAACACTGTGCCATGCTCCAGGATGGGCTGTAACTCCCCGCAGGGCACAGCTGGGCTCTGCTGCTCCCCACCTCACAGTAATGTCCCGGTGGACAGGGTCCTCCTCTGACCGTTGTCTTGCAAGAAGAACACCCCAGTTACAAGGCTACCAACTCAGGGGTGGCCCTTGCAAAGTGATTTGGGTCAAGCTCTTATGCCAATGAGAACCAGATGTGTTTTGTCAAATCCTGTGCTCACCCCTCAGGCTGCACGCCTATTCCTTTCCCAAAAGAAGGGATCAGAATTGTGCCCATAACTTGCTGGGATGGCCATTTGGAAGGTGGCATCACCCTTTCACCATCCATAGTCTGCAGAAAGCTGAGGCATAACCCAGTGTTTGCTGAGTTATCACCTTTAAAGATTCTCACTGTATTTTGCCTAGGAGGGGGGCTGACAGATGCAATGTTCTCGTCAAACTCCTGCACTCCTAACCTCTGGAATTCTAATCTGATACAGCATTTCACTCTGCTTTGCAGAATCAGTATGCAAATAGAGAGTTCTTTTTGGTCAGCTTTTAGATGTAAAAGCTGTAAGAAGGCCAACTGCCCCTTTTGCTATCAAGAAACCAGATGCACCGATGCACCCAATACACAACATAATGTAGTTAAGGGACAGTTCAATCAGGGGCAGAAGAACTAAGGTGACTTTATGGTCTTCAGTTCCACAGATACATTTTACACTATTCACAGTACAAGCACAGCTTACCCTGGGAGGTTTAGGAGAAATGGCTCCTCCACTGCAGTAAAACCCAGCCTCACATAATCCAGTTGGAGAAACAAGTCCAGTCCCATCACAGAAATACCCTGAAATGAAGAGGAACCACAAAAGGACCATAATGATACTGGTCACATGAGACAGACAAACAGCAAGTGTGCAATGAGGAAATAATCACTGAAGCATCATGTTTGATGGCACCAACATCTATTCTCCTGGAGATGCTGTCACTGGGAATAGCTGCAAGTACAGAGCTTACATGCCTGAACAAACAGCACTCCTTGTATCATCTACAAGGGGTTGGAACTGGATGATCTTCAGGTCCTTTCCAACCCAAACCATCCTGTGATTCTATGACTTTATGATCTCCTAGTACAAAACCACCTAGAGAAAGGGTGGAGAAAGGGAAGCTCACAGTGCAGATGCAGTCCCTCTATGCTCTACCCTGTATCTCTCTCCATGAAAGCAGTTGTTCATGATTGCTTGCTCTGGAACCACAAAGTGTCTCAGGAGCCCTGGAAATACTGGTGCTTGGCTAGAATCTCATTCATCCTTTCTTTTGATATTGTACCTGCATCACATAGGAGACAGTCCTTGATCCTAGTATTCCCAGTTGAGTTGCTGTAATAACCAGGAGGACATGGCTGTGGAAAAGCAGAGCCCATAGGACAGTAAGTCCCCTTTGGGCATGTGTTCCCCAGAAGACCATCTGTAGGTGTCGGAACAGAAACACCTCCTCTGCAGTAGAACCCAGCCAGACAAGGTCCTGTAACATGGGACTGCCCCACAAGTGCACAGTAGTGCCCTGAGAAAGCAATGCAATGCTGTTAGTAGGGGCAGGAAAACACCCCAGGTACTCCAGAGAGGAAGCTACACAAGTCACCCCTGAAGCTCAAGAACACTCCCAATTTTCATGCATTCTCCTGTCATATTGAGATGTCCTTATTTGCTGCTTGCCTGGGTCACAGGGGGTGCAGTGAGCCTTCAGGCTGCTTCCAGTCTGGGGGTTGTAAGTCCCTTTTGGACATGGGAACTGAGTGGCAGAAGCAGTACTTGGAGGGCAGTAGTGGCCAGCTGGACATTCATTCTCCATAAAGGAAGAGGAATTTGGGGGGCAGAAGAACCTAGTGCAAAGAGACATTAAAAAAAAAAAAAGAGAAGAAATAAGACATTTTCTAGCAACATTCCATCCACAAATACCTGAATAACAACTTAGTGGTGGGACCAGCCAGTCTAATGTGGTGTATTGACCACAAGAGACCTACTTATGCATATTTTACTACATTTTGAGTTGTTTCCTCCTCTGCCAAATTGATGGCATAATTGCAAAAGCCACAGAGACATAATTTCCTTAACTTGAGTCACAACACATCCAGGCTGCGATTCATCAACTTGTAAAAGTTAATCAAGGTCAAATCCAGGCAGTAATTGGAGATGAATCCCCACAGGAAAAAGCCAGACTCAGCATCAGGTGATACCCAAGATCCTCTTCCCCTTCAGCAGGCTTGTTGCCAAGGGAACAGTCTCTTCCTTTAGACATGGGAAAGGTTTATGGTGCTAGTGGTTTCCTTGCTCCGAATAACTTTCGGATCTAAATTCCAGTGTAGTTGTACCTGGATTTAGGACTTTGCCTGCTCCCACACTCAGCTGTAGCGTGGTTAAACAGAGCTCTGCTTCCTCACAGAGACAAGTGCTTTTCAGTGGTAAAAGAACTCATTTTCCCACCACACTCCTCTCCACGATGACTGGATAAACAATTATGCCTAATAGTCCCTTACTCACACCTAAAATGTGTGAGTATGGGACTCACACATGTAGGGGACTCAGTGTCTCACCCTTACCCTTTGGGACAGGGGAGGCAGCTGCCTTGCCTTGGTGAAGGGTTATAGGACCCTGCTGGACAAGCAAAAGGAAGAGCTGTGCCCTTGGGACAGAAATACCCTGGAAAAGAAAGAACAGACCAGAATCAGCAGCCTTTGGAACGTCAAAGACGACTCAGACATTTAAGCAGGACATCAACTCACCTTGGGGACAGGGCTGTGGCTTCTCTCCAGAGACACAGTGTTCCCCCTCCGGGCAAGCACGGCACTCCTCTCCATGGGTGTGTGGCATGTAGGAGCCAGGGGGGCATGGAGCTGGACTGCTGGATCCGAGAGGACAGAAGTGACTGCCTGGACACGGAGCTCCTGAGAGGCCATCAGTGGGAGCTGAGGACTGGGCCCCAGAGATGCAGTAGTACCTGCAGCCAAGAAAACATCCTTCATTTCCACAAGGCTAAGAAGAGCCCTTGTAGACCTCCTCTCTTACAACACAGCATGTAAATGTGTGTGCTCTTCTACTCACCCTGGGCTGCAGGGTCCTGAGGGGGCTCTCTGCCCTGAGCTATTGCAGTAATATCCCCCAGGGCAAGGCTGGCACTCCTGCAAGCTCCTGCTGCCTTCACCACCAGCCCATGTGCCAGGAGGGCACTGCACTGGAAGCGGGGCACCTGGCAAAATACATTGTGCTGGAGTGAGGAAACACCACCTCATGCCTTCTGCGACTGATCAACAGCTCTGCTTTAGCAAAGCGCTCTTACCTTCAGGGCAATAATGACCAGGAGGACAAGGAAGTCCTGATTCTCCATCTTGGGGGGTTCTTACTCGGGCACCACTTTTGCACCAAAACCCCTCAGCACAATCTCCTAGAAAACAGAGTAACTGATATGAAATACATGAATCTATTAAAAGATACCAAGAAGTTCTTGATAAGCGAATGGGATAGTTCACCTAGATCAGCATCCTAAAGTCCTAACACCAGTCCATCAGCCCCTGCCATGGCTCTAACACCACTGAATACACTCAGAAGAGCAGCAATATACCTGTTGGGGCAGCAAGCCCAGAGAATTCACAGTATTTTCCTGGTGGGCACCTTTGGCATTCTGTGATTGCTTTCAGTTTTTGCCTTGGTCCAAAGGTTCCTGCAGGGCAGCTGTACTGAGTGCTGCTGTTTGTTCCTGCTGGGCAGTAAAACCCTCGTGGGCATGGGTAAAGGGTAAAATCAATAACTGGCCCCTGCTGGTTGTTACAGTAATAGCCTGCAGGGGAAAAGAAAGCTACATTAGGAGATAGTTACTAGGAGATAGTAGCTATTGAGGTGCTGCTCATTAGGAGAGAGCAGGTTCTCCTAGGCACACATGTCTGAATTGCTTTAACCTCTAGTGGCCTCTTCACACAAAGCCAGAACTTGCTCTTCTCCAAGTCAGGAGAGGGAAACCACCAAGACAGGCAGCGAGACTCTAAACTTGCCCCCATAGGAAGGCTCAGGAGTCAGCAGTTAAGCAGCCGTCTCTTCTATGATGCATGGAATTCCAATTGGAGACTGTGAAAACAGAACTCCTGTTTTCTGGGTGCCTGCACAGCCTACAGCACCTTCTCGACTCCTGGCAGATCTCCCGGCCGGGGAATGGCTTTTCCACCTTTGGCTTTTCCTCTCTAAACCACTGGCTCACACATTCATTTGAAGCTGTCCAATACACACAAACACACCTTCCTTTGAGCATGTGCCCAGAGGCTCAGTCTGTTTATCCATGACTTACCTTCCCAGCACTCTCCGGTCGGAGCAGTGAGGCCAGGTTCCTCACAATAGAAGCCAGAGGGGCAAGGCTGGCACTCAGAAAGCATTCTCCTCCCCTGGAGGCTGGAAAAGGTGCCAGCAGGGCAGAGCTTGGGTACTGCTGATGCTGCAGCTGCGAGGACAGAAGCGAGACAGAGAGAAATGAGCAGTGAAAGATGAAGGAGGTCGTTGCTGCGTTCAGGGCTTGGATGGACGTGCAGCAGCATGGAAACAGGGTCAGGGAAGCCATGCAGAGCTCAAACAGTGCTGTGTGGGAGAGGACTGACATTAGGAGCTTCATTTAACAAGGGAAAATGAGGTGCAGCTGTTCACAATCCAAAGATGGAGGAGTTTGGGTGCTGAGACAAATCTATCACTCCCCACTTTCAAAGAACAGGCCAGGGGGGAAACTAGGGGAAGACTCAGAGTCTTTAGGCAGTAGCAAGTTGGCCACCACACTTCCAAAATCAGCCCCAGTGATTTCAGATATTGCATGACATGAAATTTTCTGTATTTCAGACATTAAGTGACATGAAATTTTTACTCCTGCTGGATACCTACTGCAGTAAGTGCCCCCAGGGCAGATATTCCCAGTCACACCATCTGTTGGGTTAGGGATTGTTGCTCCAGCTTTACAGTAAAAACCAGCAGTACATTCCCCACTGGGCACAGGCAGACCTGGAAGACAGAGGGGATAATGGCACTCAGAGCACTTAGATAAAGGAAGGAAAGCAGGAAAAACACCCACTCGAAGCATCCCTCTGGAAGACACCAAAGGCATCTCACAAGCACCATCACAGCTCTACAGAAATATCAGGATAAAATCAGCTCCTGTTTAACACATGGAAGGAATACTGAAAGGAAGGAAAAGGAGCAAGAGAAAATGAAGCAGCATTTTGTCTGTATCCCAGCATCTGCAGGCGCACAAAACACAGGGAATTCTGTCAGGAGACCCTGATACTCCATGTCTATGAACCTATAGCCACCTGCGTTCCCATCGGTCCTCGAAGATGGCCATGGAGGCAGTGACTCACTTGAAGACACACAGCAAATTCTGGGAAAACCAGGTTTATCATCCAGAAACAAAACTAGCTTTAGGGTCCTCTAGTGAGTTCTGAAATAACAAACATTTCCCTGCCCACACAATGCCTTCATTTTAACTCCCCTCAAACCAGATCACTCCTGCTCTCCAAACACACAGACCTGAGGCATTGCAGTAAAACCCTGGAGGACAAGGAAGTGGCTCTGGGCTTCCTTTGGGGCAATAGAAACCAGCTGTGCACTTCCCTCCAGTGGCAGTGGCTGGGCAGAGGCAGTTGGTATTGGTGTAGTTATCCAGATCAAAAGGCCGTGAGGTCCAAGCAGCTGAGATGCAAAACCAACCTGAGAACAAACAACGCCACTGAGAAGCTCTAGCAATGACAGAGCTCCAGGAATTCTCATGAATAACCCATCCTGGATGGTTTTGCTGCAGGACACAAGCATCAGCCTCCCAAAACTATGCTGTCCCCAAGCGCTGGGCAATGCAAAAGCCACAGAGATACAGTCTCACCTGCATCACACATGCCTGAGGCAGCTGTCAAGTTCTCCTTCCCACAGTAGTGCCCAGGAGGACAGGGCAAGCAGCTATCCAAGCTCTGTGTCATGGGATCAGGGTTATAGTAGCCCCGTGGACAGGGGAACTCAGTAGCAAACCTGGTTCCTTTGGAATAAAAAGAGCAAATAGCTTTCATGGACTATAAATACTACCTTGGCTACCAATCCTGCTGTATCACTTCATGTAGCATCCTATGGTTCGGGGTCATCTTTGCCCATTTATGTCACTGCTGACCTTCACAGTGCACAGCTTGCCCTTCACGGCCAGGCAGACAGTGCTGTTTGGTTTGCCTTTAAGGCTCAAACAACAGCCATAGCTGTGGTTTCCAGGGTTGGGGTTTCTTCCTGTGAAGAACCAGACTGACACTTAAACCTTTGGTCCACAGAGACAATTTCTTGGCCCATGGATTGCCGTGTCCCCCAGGACCCATCTCACCTTTGGGGCAGTAAAAGCCAGCTGGGCAAGGGTTCATACTGTAGCTGGTGGAGTTTTCTGGGCAGTAGTAGCCTGCAGCACAAGGGAAGCATGCAGCTTGTCTGGTGAGGTTGTTGTAAGTCCCTGCAAGGCAGGGCAAGGGAAAGCTGCTTCCTTCTGGGCAGAAGTGGCTCACAGGACAAGGACCTCCTTTCTCCCACATACCTAGAGCACAGAAAGCACAAAAACATGGCCCACAAAGGGAGCTGCTGAGGGAGGGACAATGCTAACAAGGGTCCAGCAAGAAAGATGTTGTCTTCTCTGGGATCCCAGAAGACAGATCAACACAGTAACTAGAATGACCACTTTGGAACTCTCTGATGCTGTGTTACCATGCCTCTTCTCTCCTTGCTTCACAGGCAAAGCCACAACAAATCATACTGAACAGATCAGCTTTCTAAATGCTCTGCTTCGCATCCACCAAGAATTCTGGAGAACATGGAATTCGCTGTGAGAGATTTGTAACTCTTCCCTGGAAATTCTTATTTCTGAGACACAATAAAATGACCAGGAGCAACCAGGCTACGTCCATTACAGGCACAACAGGAACTGCCTGGTGCCAAGCCCCCTCAGCATTGCACACAGACAAATGAAGACACCGACGTTCGTTCAGCCAGGGCAGCTCACCATGTGGTGATGGTGAGGAAGCTCCACTCGAGCAGTAGTAGCCAGCTGAGCAGGGTCCTGAGGGTGCTGTGAGGCCAGCAGAGCTGCAGTAATAGCCAGATGGACACACTGTGCAGCTGGAGTCCTGCCTGTTGTAGAGCCTGGTGAGGGACACAAGCACGCTTTCTGTTGGCAGGAGCACAAGTTCAGCAGTAGACCACTGATACCTACAACTCTGGACAAGTGAAAGCACCCAGGAGGCTTTTGTGATCAATGCCATGTGTCTAATGAGCCTTGCTGAGTTGTACTTTGCTACTTAAAGGACTAAGGGAGAAACCAAAAGGAAAAGGATAACACCAATGAGCACCAGCAGAACCAAGAAGACTACTTACCTGTCAGAGTAAGTGCCCACAGGGCATTGCTGGGGGATGCTTGTGCCAGCTGGGCAGAAGTGGCCAGGGGGGCATGGACCACCAGTGCTCGTGTTTGTGGCTCCATTAGGGTTTGGGACACTTGCTCCTACATGAGGGAGGTAAACCAAAGGTGTCCTGAATGACACGGGTGACTGTTCCTGCCTAAAGAAACATTTCCACAGCTGACAGAAGAGAGCAGCTGGTGATTGTTGCTTAGGCCAATCTATAGTGGAATGGAATAACTAACAGCAAGTACCAAGGGGAACGGAACCATTTGGATGGCTTAGTCCACCACAGACCTACTCCTCTAAAAGCTGAGATGTCAGGGAGAAGGAGACAATGACCATACATGATACAATTGCACTTAAACCCCTATACAGATTTAACTATAGCTCACAAAATACCTCCCTAGCATGTATCATCACTCTCCAGTGTATAGCCAGGAAAACATACTCAGAAGAGAATAAACTCATCTGAGTTCCCACTGCTGCAACCAGGACTAAAAGTGACCCCAAATGCCCACCTTCCATGCTAAACTGAGAGTCATCTGTTTGTTGAAGGGCCAGTATGTACAGAAGCTATTTAAGTTATATGGGAATAGTGAGAGCATCTATGGAGCCTGCCATCCACATTGCAAAGCATGGATCTGAATGCTGATCACAGCAGAGCTGACTGCCTTCTGCGCTTGACCTGAAAGAGATCCCAAAGAAGGGATGAGCTGCCCAAACCAGCCACAACCAGAGAGCAAGGCCTCTAGGAAATTTGTATTTGTGTGGTTTTCAGTTCTCATCTCAGACTTCTCTTAATAATTCCAAGCACATAAGAACTTAGAAGTAAAGTAAATGTCAGGATCCTTATGAAATCACCCAAACTCAGGACCTGTGGTTCCGTGAGAGGTATCAAGCACTAATCCTCAGCAGCGTGGTTACAGCATGCAGCACAGAGAACATTCAGTGCTGCTGAATATGGTGCAGGAGGACTGAATGACGTTGCCACCATCTTCCTGTCTGTAGTCCTTTGTCCCTACAAATCCAAGCCCTTATCCTATGCAAACACCAACTGCAAGCTGCCAGGAAACTTGCTCACAACAGTCAAATCCCTATGGTAATGACTTTCTTGAGTCTGCTTCTTGTAGTTTTCCTCCCCAAGTCCTTCTAGTAGGCTCAGAAAGCAGGTATCTAAATAGAGAAACTTATGATGGGACTGATGATAACCTTATCACGTTGCTTTATTCCTCAGGACCACCCTGGCACTGTCTGTAATAAAAACATGGGAAAGATTGTACAGAGAATGTACAAAACCTGATTCCTACGGGGAATTCCTTTTCACTTCTCTTTTTTGCCCTGTGAGCTCTAAATTCAGTACCTGCTGTGCAGAAGAATCCTGGCCAACAGGGACCACTTGGAGAGGATAATCCCCATTCTCCACAGAACATCCCTAGAAGACCACAGAGGGAAAATAGCATCAAGTATGGGTAAACAGGGAGGACAGCCAGGAGGGCTGCTGTGCTGCACACACGCATCGGGAGCAAAAGGGAAGACTGAGAGAGCCAGTCCCTCAGCAGCAGCACAACAGGGACAGAACCACATCCCAGCCCAGCTCATGCTCCTCTGGGAAACCCTGAGTGTAACCCAACCTTCTGCAGGGCCTCAGGGAAACCTGTGGCTCACTGGGGACACTGTCAGTGGGATAAGGAACCTCCTGGACTGTGTACTTTGATGTCTGTATTCCCTAGAGCTGAAACATGCATCAGTGGCTTAGGAAAAGGGATATTCAGAGGTATCACCCTCTTAGACACTGCTCTACACTGACAGAGCCATCTCCTCACCTGCAGGGCAGTGCTGACACCTCTCAGCCTGGCTGAGGCCATAGGAGGGGTTGTAGGTCCCAGGGGGACAGGGATAAAAGCTGATTCCAGTGTTCTGAGGGCAATAGAAGCCAGGAGGACAGCGACGGCGCAATCCACTTGAGCAGTGGAACCCAGCAGGGCAAGGGAAGCATTTGTCTTGACCTGCGAAGGAAGGAGAGGAATTAAAATGAACCATGTAATGAAGTGGAAGGAAAACACCACGTACACAGCTTCGCTCTGCCTTAGGAAGCAGGAATGGAAACGAAGTTATTCCGTAAGCCCTCCTGCTATAACTGCCCTTCCAACACAAACCAGGAGAGTTTGATTCAGCTTCTTAACTCCACCAGCCCCAGAGTGCCAGTAACCTCCACACCTCACCGCAGGCAGAGCAGCAAGGAAAGGCAGTGAACCGCTTACCAGCTATCTGTGCACCTACTGCTCCAATCCTCACCCATGAGCTGTCTGCCAGGGTGAAATACATTCCCCGTGTGACACGAGGGAAAAAACAACACCTCCCCGACCCCTTTCTTTTCTCCCCCCCATTGAATGCTGATAATGGCCAGGAGCTCTCAGGACACTCTTGGATGCAGACAAGTAACACAATTGGTGTTTTCTACATCCCCCAGGTCACAGACAAGTTGCAAAGCTCCGGTTCCTGACCTGTTGCATTGCTGTATTCTCCACTGGGGCAGGGAGAAGGGGCTGCTGAGCCTGCAGGGCAGAAATGTCCTCGAGGACAGAGATCTCCAGTGATCCCATCCTCTGGCTTTGCAGTCTTTGTCCTTCCTGTGCAGTAATAGCCTTAAAGCAGAAGACATTTGAGTCCTGTCTCTGATCCAGAGCCAAGGGAGTTTTTTAGAAGCTGAAGGAGCTTTGTCTGGCTTTGTCTCACCTTGTGCACAAAGTCCCTCAGGAGCAGCCTGCCCAGACATGTTGCAGAAAAACCCAGGGGCACAAGGTAGGCACCAAGTGGCATCCTGGGCTCCTCTCTGTGCATTCCAGGTGCCAGCAGGACATGGCATCTCTTTTGGGTGGGTTGTGCCAGCAGGGCAATAATGTCCTTGTGGGCAGAGATCTCCAACTGGCAGCCCCATCTGAAGCGAGGAAAATTACCTTAATGTGGTTTACAAAAGGTTTTGTAGTGCCAAAAGGCGTGATGCAATGTGAGATATTCAGTACTCACGGGTGAGGAGGTGCTGGAACCTTGAAGGCAGTAATACCCTGGCTGACAATGTCCTTCTGGCTCTGTCAGAGCAGCCCTGCTGCAGTACATGCCTGCTGGGCAGGGCTTGCAAGAACCTGCCCTGGCTACATCAGTGTAGGTTCCCTGCACAGAGAGAACCAGTGAATGTCCTCTGCCAAGGGGCTGGGAGCCTGCAGAAAATCACTGCTTGAGACCCAAGTTCACATTCGACTCTTACCACTGGGCATGGGAGAGGGAAGGAACTGCCAACCAAGCAAAAATGCCCTTTGGGACAATCCTGGGGTGCAGCCAGGCCTGCCTCACTGCAGAATGTACCCTCTGGACAGTCCTGACAAAGAGCCTGAGCACGAGCCTAAAGGGGGAACGCAGAAAGCACTTGGCAGATGTGGGGTATTGCTGCTTGCCCCATGAATCAGTGAACTTTGCACACTCTCCCAGCTCCCTACTACGGAATGAGCACCCTGAAGCAAATGAACTGCAGTCAGTCCCAATGCAACAGACCTGTGGGATCTGAAGAGCACCTTCCACCACTAAAGCAGTGGCAAGCACAGAGCTCTTCTGTTGTAGGGTAAAAGCAAAGGAGGTGGTGATTACCCAATGCAGGAGAAAACCCAGGTCCACTTTTCTTAAGGTGACCACTTACAACCACCTCCTGCGTTTCTGTTCCCACACTGGACAGTTTCCAAGGGCTCTGATGCCCCCCCCAAGTACATTACACAGGGTATACTAACAGACTTACAGGCTGGAAGCTGCCAAGAGGACATGGTTCTGGCTTGAAAGCTCCTGGTAAGGAATAATGCCCTTCCATCACCACTTGCTGAAGAGCACTTTTGGCACCTCCTGTGCAAAAGTAGCCAGCTTCACAGGGTCCTGAGGGAGCTTGGTTGTTTGTCCCATCACAATACAGGCTATGTGGGGAAAAACAGACACCGTGGGTACAATAGTTCCTTTTGTCACTGCATAATACAGTCTCAGTACAAAAATATCCCTGCTGTCTGTCTGGAATCTTGGAGACCTGTTTCTTGAAAGGGAGTTACAGAGGATACATGCCACTTCTCACACGTGTTTTAAGGACCATAACCTCTCAGATTCAGTAGCTGTACCCTGGGAAGAATCCTCCCCTCTACAAGCAGGGAGCAGCATCTGCATCTACTTCTGACTAAAGGCCTTACAAACACCCAAGTGTTGGTTTCCTTCAAACCTGCTCTGCAGCTCTGGGCTAAAAATACTTAAGAAAGCCACTCTGATGGCATTCCCTCCAGCTTCTGCACAGAACAGGAATTCCAGAGCAGTCTCCTGCTCGGTTTTCCTGCCTACCTCTCCTGGGAAAACAGAGTGAAGTAAAAAAACAGAGGGATAAGCTCTTTGAATTTGGATTCTCCCAGAGCTCTGGACTGCACCTGAAAGTCACTGTCCCTCACTGGCCTTATGCTGCACGTACTCAATGCACGCTCACGGGGAGGCGAAAGCCACCACAATCCATTCCTTTGCCTTCCGAATCAGTGATGTCATTTTGGTGCCGTTAAAAGGAACGCAACAGGGTGGTGAATTACACTGTCTGCTAACATAACATCAGTATCAGGGAGGATGTTTAGGCAGGAGCTGCTGGGTGAAACCATGCCGCACCACTGATAGGAGCCTCGCTCTGCAAGGTAAGGGTGGGCTGTTGGGGCAGCTAAGCTGAAGGCTGAACAATCCCTTTGCAATGGGACAGGGCTGAGCCATGTTCTCTGAAGAGGACACTCACCCAGGGGGGCAGTCCAAGCACTCCTGGAGGCTCCTCAACCCACTGAGGTTGCTGTAAGTGCCTGCAGGACAGGGGATGGGTGAGGCACAGCCAGGTGGGCAGTAAGCCCCAGCAGGACACACGTCTCCTGTCACACCATCTGTGGGCAGCTGGAATTGGAAAAGGCATCATTCAAAACGAGGAGTAACCAGGGTTCAGGTGTTTACAGCATCATCCTGCTTTGGGCCCAAGGCAAGACAGGAAAACAGAGACATCTTCTGTTGTGCAGAGCACAGACAATACCTAACTTAGGGGAAATGCAGTAAACACAACATGAATAAATGGATGTTTTCACAGCAGCATCCTGCTGGAATTCACATCCACTCAACTTCTGGTTTTAGTTAAGGGGATGTTGGTGTTGAGAGGGACAGATATGACGTGGCTGCACTCCCTTTGAGGGCAGCAAGTGGTCCTCATGCCACCAACCTGGGGACTTGATCTTGAAGGTCTTTTCCAACCTCGTTGATTCTATGACTCTATGTGACCAGCACAGAATTGTGACTCTTGAAGTCACCGAGCTAATAAAAAGCACCACAGTGGGGAAAGAGCCACCACATTGGAGCACAATTAGATAAGGAGGAGAAGAACTTGCCACGAGACTTACTGGAGTGAGGGCTCTGCCCTGGCAGTAGAATCCAGCCTCACAGGGACCACTTGGCCCAGTCTGCCCTGGAGCAGCACAGTAGAACCCACGGGTACACGGACTGCACTTCGAGGGTCCAGATAGCCCCTTCTTGCCACTGTATGTCCCCTCAGGGCAGGCTTCAGGTTTAGAGCTGCCTTCCACACAGTAAAAGCCCTGCAAACCAAAGTCAGCTTAATACAGCACTTCAAGCTCTTCTATTAGACCCCCACATACCAGCTTCTTCCACGAGGTAACTAAGAAAGAACAACTCACTGCTGGGCAAGCTTTGGGCTCTGGCATGGCAGGAGAGTCACAATAGTACCCAGGTGGACACGGTGTGCAAGGGTCTTCACCCTCTGTGCTGGAATTATCCCAGAAGAAGCCTGGCATACAGGGGAAGGAGAAAGGGAACCCAGTCCCCGGAGGGCAGTGATAGCCAGGTGGGCAATCCCCTGTCTGGAAAGCAGAATACACACTCAGGCATGGCTTTGTTATCTTCTTCTGAGTAGGGAAGAGGAACCTCTTAAGATTCAACTCCAAAAGAACCAAGCTTAATCTATAATTTGAATAACCTGGCATCTTTTAATGCAGGAAAAAGGGGCAGAAAAGAAGGGGAGGGAGGGAATTCACAGTCTTATCAGTAAAACTCTGACCATGTAGGATCATTATTCTAGGTGAGGGGTTTGGAAGGTAAAGTCTTGTCATTGAGATAGGCCCTACATGTTCTCTATACAGCTGTGGGGAAGATGCTCTTCTTCCACACTTGGAAAAAGGGCTGGAACTGGGATAAGAGTTATCCTCTTGCTCCTAAATGAAAGCACAGATTCACCCATGTGGAAGAGAAGAGGATTCTTTTTTTAACAGCTATTAATATTGGAAGAGTTCACTCTTTCTAGAGACAGAACAATCACCCTGAAAGATCCCCAAACTCATTAGATACAGAGCAGCACCAGCTCCTGATCTCTGTCCCCTCTTTCATAGCCTGCTTTGACAGGCAGAAGGTTAAGTAAAGACAAAAAACATGCATTAAGCTCACTCCATTTACAGTTGTAGCCTTTGGAGAAATAAAATTCAGGATGACCTGAGCTCTACTTACAGGATTGGGAATTCCTGGAGGCTCAATCCCATCTCTGTAGCAGTACTTCCCCATGGGACAGGGCAAGCATTCAGCAACACTGCTTAGACCCATCTGCTCACCATAGGTCCCATTGGGACAAGGCTTACCCTTGAAATGAAATAGAAAAATGGACCTTTACCATACTAATATGACTGGGAACAAACACTGACAAGAGGCACCAGGAATCTGGGGTGAATGCTGAAAAGATGGTACAATGGAATGGGGATCCAATGCTCTGGACTGTGCACAGAAAACATTACCCCAGTATTAGCAACAGTTGTATGGAGGGCAAATATTGCTAGGATCTGTGAACCCCAAAAGAGTACAGAAACCAGTTCAGAGACTACTGGGAAAGGCTCCTATAGCAAGACAAAGCCCAGTGCAGACTGTAACTGCACAGCCAACTCGATCCCAGTCCCAAGGACCAAAGCAGACTCACTCACAGTGTCTCCCTGGGGACAGTAGTATCCTCTTGGGCAGGCATTTGCACTGGTGTCTGGAACAGCAGCCTGTCCTTGTGGACACAGGAGACCCGCTGGGCAAACCATGGCTAGGAGCATCACCTCCCAGCTGGTGTGCTCTCCAGCACAGTAATGTCCCACCAGGCATGGCAAGCAGGAGGCTGAACCTTGGTCCTACAACAGGGAAAGCACGGGGTTCTACTTCTCAAGGGCAAAAGAATCCTTGCACAATTGGTAATGCTCCCAGAGACAAAAAGAATTCCCACCTAAGCTAACCTGTGAGCAGCAGGCAGCTTGCAATTCAGTGTATTCACCCTGCAGGCAAGGAAACCTGGGCTTCACAAATAAGAAGCAGGTTCTGTGGATTATCCATGGAAAAGGTTCTGATCCTCAGAACAGTCCAACACCCTTTGCCAGCAGGAGCAGAGAACACAGGCATGTCCCCTCCTCTTTCTTTGTTACACGGAACTCCAAGGTACAAACAAGAAGGAATCTCTTTGCTGTACATACATCTCCATTCACCATTTCCCTCCTCTCTGACCTTAGTAAGGGTTCCAGTGGTAACTACCAAAACTGTGCAGTGATGGAAAACTGGCCTGGAGGAAGATACTGGGGTCTCTTGACAGAAGTGAAGAGCCCATTTCCCATCAATGGGGAAACATGGCAATTAGCACGATTATTGATGCCATTTTGGGGGTAGACAACTCAGAAACAGGCCTCAGCACCTGCCTGTGAGAACAATTGGGCCATTGCTACTCTCTGCTGTGGCTCCATCTTGCTGTTTAACTGACGGCTTGACTCCACTGCAATCAAATGCATCCTTTGGAGCAGGAACCAGCTCTCCTTTCTGCCAGGGTCAAATATGCCATGAAAACCCAAAGTCCCTGCTCAGCTACAGGACAGATGTACTCAGGTTGCTGGTGCTAGCCTCTGGAGTGGGAATAACAGCAAAAGCAGCATTGCACACGTGGTATGCACTTTCAGCACCAAGTCTGGAGCACACCCAGACCTGACTGTGTAGAAACACTCCTTCTCTGTGCTAGCACTTTCCCTCCTTACTTGCAGAGTCAGCACATGTGGCCAGTATTCTTCAGAGCACTGGATACGACCTCCCCAAATCGGAGCCATCTCGCAAGGAGATGAACTCACTCCAGTGCCTCCTTTTGAGGCACTCAAAGCCTCAAGCTCGCCTTGAAGCTCCCTTTCTGCCAAATTTCAGTCCTTCTGCTCAGCAGGTGCCAGGAGAAAATTATTGTTACTTACTGAGAAGTTGCCAGCACCACAGGGTTGAGGAGATACAGTGCCCAGCTCAGGGCAGTAATACCCTCCAGGACAAGGGGTGCAGTCTGCAGCCACTTCTGCACCATGTTCTATGCGATAGGTTCCTCTGCAGCAGAAAATCCCACAGAAGAGAGAGTCACAACAGCAGCAAAACGATCCAGTATCTGAAGGGGGCTACAAGGATGCTGGAGAGGGGCTCTGTATCAGGGACTGGAATGGTAGGACAAGGGTTGATGGGTTAAAACTGAAAGAGGGGAAGTTCAGGTTGGAGATAAGGCAGAAGCTCTTCCCTGTGAGGGTGCTGAGGCGCTGGCACAGGGTGCCCAGAGAAGCTGTGGCTGTCCCATCCCTGGCAGTGTTCAAGGCCAGGTTGGACACAGGGGCTTGGAGCAAGCTGCTCCAGTGGAAGGTGTCCCTGCCCATGGTAGGGGTTGGAACTGGTTGAGCTTTAAGGTCCTTTCCAACACAAACCATTCTCTGATTCTATGACAGCACACCTCTGGTCTGGATCCTCAGTCATCTGTATAGAGGAAATCTACCATTTCTGGAGGCAAGAAACTCCCTGATTCAGAAAAATCCTGCCTGGACCAGCCAGTAACACGCAAGGTCAAAGGAACATTGCTGGTGCAGAAAGCTATTACTTAAACCCACAAGTGTTCTGAAATGCCGTGTAGAAGTGTTTTCTTTTGTACCTGCACAGCTACTGCAGCACATGGGATGCACTTACACTGGGCACAGAGCTGGCTTGGAGGTCCCACTGGTGCAGAAAGCTCCTGCGGGGCAGGCAGCACAGTCTTCCACTCTCCCATTTCCCAGCCTGGTGGCATAGGTTCCTGCAGGGCAGGGGTACTGTGTGCCCCTCTGTGTACCTTGCCAGAAAGAGGAGAAGACCAGCCTTAGTTCTTAATACATCTTCAAAGACAGGACGCAATAAGCCCCCTGCTCTTCACTGTTGGTATTTACATGAGTTACATGTAAATATGTATTTCTATATACAAAAATCACTGCTCGCAGCTCTTAGAACAACAGCGACAAAATCACCACTTAGCAAAGAGTGCCGAATCCCTGCAGGAAGTTTCCCATTTACAATTGCAGCAGATATTTGCATCTGAATTCTTTGCCAATGAAGGGAAAGAAAACAATGCCAATGTGCTCTGTGCAAACAGTGTATTTACTAGACAGAAGGGACGTTTTGTTACCGACTCCACATTGAAAACCCAGCGCAGAAGATCCGCTGATAAAGGCAGGGTGTGATGTTATCAGAGTCCAACAACATTTCTAAGGACAGAAGCACACTAAAGCTCCTTCACTCCTACCCTGAGGGCAGTAGTGCCCTGAGCTGCACATCCCAGTAGGAGAACGGGCTCCTCCGAAGCAAAACCAGCCTGCAGGGCATGGGGAGCACTCCTCCGCTGAGGTCAGGCTTGTCCTGTTGCTCCAGGTGCCCGGGGCACACTTGTGCTGCGTTGGGTGCTTGGTGCCTGGTGGGCAGTAGTGACCAGCTGGGCATGGAGTGGGGGGCTTCTGCTTCCCCCCTGTTCCTGTAACACACATTGAAGACAAGCAGTGTAGCCTAAAGCTGGCTTTACAAAGCCCAGTTCTCTCCGTCTGTTTTCAGCTCTGCTGGGTGACCCTGAGTGAAGTCTTCCCCTCATTTTGCACCTTTCCTCTATTTGAAACAGGGTAACAAGAATTACATCCTCTCACGAGAGATTCTGTCAGAACTGGTTACTAAAGCAGCTTTTCATCAGTTTAAGTATCCTGTGTGGTGTCCCTGTCCAAAGCAGACACTGGTATTAAAGCCACCAATAAGCGAAAAGCTTTGAAGACATTAAAAGCTGGCCACTTTGAGGCCATGAAGTTAAAACAGTCACTCTGGGTGGCATAAAGAGAGAACCTGAGAATAAATTTACCTTGTCCATAGGGCACAGCAGTCCCTGCAGTACCACTTTGGGCATCTTTTTCCCATTTACCGTCATTGTGATACCTCATTGACCTGTTCCAGGATGTCCCAGTGGGCTCTGTGACACCAAAGAACACAGTTCACTTGGCCATAAAGCCTCTCCTTACCTCTCCCACAGGCAAATCCAGCTGGGCATGTTTCGCATTGGGACTTCTCAAAGAGGTTGAAATCGTTGCTGACTGTTCCTGGAGGACAGGCGTTGCTGGGAGAATGAGGGCTGGATGACCCTGCTGGGCACACGTACCTGACAAAACACAGCAGGTTAAGCTTTGGTGCAAGAAGGAGACAAACTCTGTGCCCTGTGACAGTATTAGGGTGAGCGCTGCAGCTGGGGAGATGCAGCAATCCCGAAGATGAAACACAGTGAACGGACTGGTTGCGTCACACACCCTTCATCTAAAGAAAAGTAGGTTATGCAGCCAGGTTGTGCTGTTCACAGCCATGGGATGTGAGGCCTGGCTTCATCCTTGGCTAATTTTATAACCTACTCAGTGGCAACAGCGCTTTCCACCAGAGCAGGCTACATCAACACTGACTCAATGGGAACTGCAGTGATGTCTTGACACAGCAGCACCACCTGCACCTCTTGACACACGAAGCAAAACCAGGGGAGGTGAAATACATGCACAGACATCAGCAGCAGCACAGGAACCAAGCCAGGCTTACCCCGGTAAGCACTCAGCATCAGGCTGGGCTAAGCCAGCCTGGGTACAAGCTCTCCCTGCTGGGCAGGCTCTGCAGTCAGTGGCTTCATCCTGGCCTTGCAGAGGGTTGTGTGTGCCTGGCTGGCACGGCACTGGGTGACTTGCTCCAGCAGGACAGAAATACCCAGCAGGGCACTTCCAGCACAACCCAAGTCCTGAAGAGAGACAGAAAGAAGGCATTTAAGGTCCCCAAAGGAAGCGTGATGTGCTGACAAAACAGAGGGTCCCATGGAGTGTGCTTCCTTTGCTTGTACCAACAATAAAATCACTGCAATGCCAGAAGGTGGTGCTGTTGGATTAGCTGAAAGCTAGTGAGGTTTAGTGGCTCAGGCAAGCAGTAAAACCATCTGGATTGTGTTCTGAGACAACAGGACAAGAAATGAGACACATTAAACATAAAACCATCAGCCTTAAACCATGCTCTGCTGCAGGTACATTTAATAACCCTCATGCTCAGGCCTCTGCTGGAAGACAGCCTGGGGTTTTCCATGCTTCACAGACTGGAGATATGCTCAGGACACGTGGATACCTGGCTTGAATGACAAGCAGTGAGCTGTGAGCACCCCTAAAATCCTGGCTGTTAAACAGGAGGTGTGCACTGTGACTTAGAGGAACGCTAGTAAGATCAAGACGTAATAAACCAACGATTCCTTCCTGCTGTTACCATGCTCAGAAAGTGCATTTCATCACAAGGTGCCCCCCGATGTCTCAGTGGGTGAAGAGGAAACACAACTTTAGCACAGGAGTGTCACTCCTGCACAAAGCAACTCGAGCAATTCAAGGGGAAGGGAAACACTGGCTGATGGAGTACTCCCAGGTTGAACCCCTGCTGCCTTCCAAACGCTTGTTGAGGCAAGGCTCAAGCACATCCCGGTGTGTATGTGCTTCTGCAGGCTGGAATAGAGCTCTCCAGCACCCCAAAATGACCAGGATTTATTCAAGCCCAGGTTTCCCCCTCCACAGAGGGAAGGTGCAGGTCCACATCAGGATTCCTCAGGGTGCAAAGCAAGTTCAAGGGTCTCTGCCTTCCACCCACTTGCTCATTCCCAGCCCACAAAACCCTCATTGTTTCCCCCTTACCTTTACTCCACACTGCCCAGAAGAACACAAGGGTCCAAAAGCTTGCTAGAACCAGGTCTGAAGTTCTCAAGGCTATAAAATCCCCCAGCTCTGAGCACAGCAACGGAGTCAACGCAGCTGAAGGGGGGCTGCAACCTCATGGAACTTTAAGCATTGCCTTAAGATGAAAACAGCTGCATGATGGGGGTCTGTCCCAGCAACAAATCCAGTGGGAATGCCATATGACAGAACCAGAATCCACACCACTTAGCTAAACCATATGAGCCATCACCTGCCTCATGATAGCGTACACAAAATACTCAGGGTTTATTCACATGTCCCCTGCTTTGCAGGTGTTGTCCTGCCTTTGCCAAATGCTCCTTAGGATAGTTGACTCAGTACATAAAGCACTACAGGCCTAACATGACCACTGAGCAGCTGAACACAAGGTTTCTGCTCCTACCAGTGCACACGGTGATTTGTGACCCTGGATAAAACATCCTGGACTTGGACCAAAGTTTACTCGAGTGAACTGAGCTCATCCCCTGAGCATCCCTCTGATTGTCTCTCTTTCCCCATTTGTACAGCACTGTGAAGGAGGAAGCAGCAATTTCTACACCTCTGTGAGACACTGAGTTACTCTGCAGGGCACAAACCCAGGCAGAGCTTGCCTCAGCAGCATGCAATTGCTGCAGCAGAAAGCCAGGTCTCCCTTTGCATGTCTAAGCAAAGATGTAGTTACCATGTTCCATTATTCGGTCCTTCTCGATTCATTTACCCATTACTAAACTGCAAAATCCAATCACCTTCCACAGGTTTCCCAGGAACTCAGCCCTGCTGGGTGCAAACCAAAGGAAAGGTCACAGAAGAGAGCTGGAAACCTGTGGAAGCTTTGTGCCTACCTCCTTGCATGCATTTCAGAACACGACATGCTGCTTCATCTACTTGGCACTATAAGAAAGTGGCACTCTTAAGGGCAGGGCTTCTACAGCTTCCCAAGGCTTCAATTCCATTGTTTTTTGACTGATACAATGAAGTTTTGCCTAATCTGTAACCTTATTTCCCTTTGCTACAAGAATTGTGCTAAAAAAGGTGACTCATGCAAAGCTGACACAGTTGAATAAGCTTTAGCAACAGGCAGCTGCTGACTTTGGCTTCACAGCTGACCTGCTGGATGCCTTTAGCACACTGTGTCAGGTTGCTCCTTGGTTTTCTTTCCTTCTGCTCTAAGTACAAGCATCACTTTTCCCTGCCATGGCAACTTCTTTCAAGTGTCTGCATAGGGCAGAGATCTAAGTATCAGGGTCCAAGTCCATAAGTGATGTAAGTGAAGTGAAATAAGGGGATAGTAACTTCTAGATGTAACAGCTTTGTAATCCCCAAATGCTTCACCACAAATCTGGTGATTCATAGGCAGTTCCATAGGTGGTCCTTTCATGCAGAGCTCTAGGACTGCCCGAGCCAGAGTCTAGTAAACACGTACTGTAGCTGCCAGCCCCTTCACAAGAATGTGCTTTAACAGCGTGATTTACAGTGAGAATTATAACCCCAGTGCCCAAAATGAAGATCTTTTATGACACAGACCTGGCAAGCATGAAGAGCTGCTGCTGCTGGGGGGGTGAAGCTCCTCTTTGGGCTTGAAACTCCCTGCTGGGCATGGAGGGACTGCAAGGCCATCAGGACAGAAGTGACCTACAGAGAAGAAGAAAACAACCTGTGGTTTAGCAATGACATTGTAAGTCAGAGCAGAGCGCTGCTGGGTTTCTTGCACGCTGATGCATGTCTGTGTTGCAGGGGATAAAGGGAAAGCTCAAGTATCCACGGCTAAATCATACCATGGTGTCTGAACGTTGCACCCTGAAGGCTTGGTTCTGCAATAGAAGCAGAGATGCATGGGCATAATCAGTGGAAGAAACCAGCAGGTCACTTCAGGGAGAAGCAGCACATTAGAGATAGCCCAAATCTTTGAGTTTGGAAATTTTGACAAGATTTGGTAAATTCTCATCCATTTCCCATCCAAAAGTGTTTCTTCCTTAGGTAAAACCTGAGCTGGCGACTCAAATTCAATTCAAAGCATACAGTGACATTTCCAGCTAAATATCCCAGTTAGTTTTATTAGTTGGCATCATCAGAGTTAATTCTTCTCTTTCTATTCCAATTCTTCTGCTCTTTCCAAAATGGAAAGATGAGCTGAAGTGTTCCTGCTCTAAGGACCACATTCCTCTTTCCCTTGAGATCCTCCTGCCAGTTGCACATCTAGTGATGAAATGCTCATATCCAGCTACAATGAATTGTTCTTTCCAAGTAATGCTTTGTAAACCCTGAGTATCAACTAGTTTCTAAAGTCTAGATGGATATTTGAAGAGTGAAAAGAAGGATTTACCTCTGGCATGAAGTGCCACTGCTAAGTGCAGATGTGTTGCTATGTATTAGAATAGCAATGACACATTATTCCCATGCGCATGATGCTGAGTACACAGATTATATGGAATTAAACTCAGGCAAACCATGAAATATCCCACTGGGAATCCTCAGGCCTCTCCTGCTTGTGGTGGTAGTCAAACTCCTTATCATGTAGGGGCTTTGCAATTGGGCTGGATGACTTATTCTAATTGAAGGACACAAGAGGTACTCATTTAACACTGAATTTCACCTTGGGATCCTTGGCATATATTGAACGTGTTGAGCATCAGGAGATTCGCACTTGCTCTCTCAGGTTTTGTGGTTGATAGACTGGAGGTGAAACCTGACTGCAGCCTTTGGCTGATCCTGTGCATGGCAGGTAGAGAAATCCTCTGTTCTGTCCTCTCGTCTCTCTATTATAACTAAATCTAAACTCCTGAGGTCTTGCTCTAGCATGATCTCTTTAGCTTCGCCATTTCTCCTTCTACTGCACAACACGTAAGGTATCCAGAGCACAGGAACTCTTCATTATTTAATAAGAGGGATTCTAATTACAGACACAAGAATTAAGTTACTGAGTTGAGTGACTCTGCAGGAGGCACCTGGAGCTGTGTAGGGCTTACAGGAGAAGGAAAAGCATGATAGGACTGCAGATCACAACTGCATCTCTGTAGTAACAGCTACCCCATGCTCTCCCTGTAAGGCCAGTGTGCTTGGAAATGAAGTCTGAGGGTGTGAGGAGGGAACTCTCAATGATATTCGTGCTACTGCAGCACCCAACTTTCCCTCTTACCAAGGACTGTGGTGAAGAATGGAACTGAACTGATGCTGAGGACCTTGGAGGGACACCAAAGCACTGCAGTGTATCACAGGAGACAAGCCCAACAGGAAGCTAATATTGGGCTACCAAATCCTCTCTAGGCTTATACTCATTCTCCTGGATGTATAAGGGGTTTTAATGCTGCAGAAAGCTCTCTTTTTATGGGGAAACTAAGCCAAGCAGCCCTTCAGTACCAGGACAGCTTAACCTCCAATGTCACTGAAGAGCTGCACGCTCCCAGCCTGGACAAACACAAAGCTTTGGGGTTTTGTATTGGGATTATCCCCAAACAAATGCTAACAGACTGTAAGTTAAGGTGCTTTCACAGTTACTCCATCATTTCCTTCTGGCTAAGGAATCACATGAAATGACATCCTCTGCCCAGTCCCTCCTATTCTGTTCCCCTGCTGCCTAATTTTGCACCAGCATCTCAGTGAGGAATTTGTACCCCCACCAGTGACAACACACTGCAACCACCTAAACATGTGCCTATCTGCATGTCTTTGAGAGTGTCAGGCAGAGAGAGGAATTAGGTAAAAAACCACAGCGTGGCCTTATTTGATTCTGAATGCTACAGCACCCACTATAAATGGGTATTAGTGATAGCCTGTGAATCCAGCCCCTGAAGTGGAGAAAGACATAACTGTGTGTGAATCAATTTCACAGATGATCAGTTAAAACCCACAGAGAGGAAGAGCTTTCTGGGAGGGAAGGGGAAGCCAAAGCTTTCCTCATGGCTCAGCAGCACTTGAGGAACTTGCTTTTCAGGAACCCTTCTTGATGGCACCTGCTGGTTTTAACCTCCAGTGCTGCTGTCCCACAAGGAACCAATCTCTGTTCCCAAACTGCCAGCTAAGCTTTACCAGAGCAAAGTGCCATGGCAGTCTCCTTAGGGTCTAATGTCTATAGAGGACGCGGTGAGATGTACCTACCTGCTGGGCAGGGCTGGCACAGCAGAGAGTCTTCCCTTGGGAAAGGGCCGGGAGCGGAGGTTATACACTGAGTGCGGCTTGGATTCGGCTGCTCACCAGCCCCGCAATGCTAAAGGGAAGAAACAAGAATTGATCCCACCACAAGGTCCAAATGGCCATTGCTGCTCAAAGCTGTGTCCCAGGGAGGCCCGAGGCAGGAAAAAGCCCTTCATTCTATCTGAAAGTGCTTCAGTCTGTCTCCTGCTTCCTCCTTGTCTGCCTTTTCCCTTCCCACCACCAGGGAAGTAAAAACAGTACTTCAAGCTCCAGGTTTTTGAGCCCTCAGCTGAGGGTTTTAGTGGTGGCAGATAATCTGAGCACTAACAGCCTCACAATTTAGATGGGAAACATTTATTTCTATTAAAAAAGGCTACTTGTAGAAGGCCTTAGGTCTACTGTACACCACTGAAGTGTACTGAATGCTTTTCCTTGAGGAAGAAAGGTTATATCCTACTATGAAAGCAGGGAAGCCTGACTTGTCCTGACGACTCACTTCTGCCTACCCCAAGTTTACCCTTGGAGAACAACACACTCATTCTGTACCTGTCTGCTCTGTCCATCCGGGCAGATGTAAGTCTCTGGACATTCCTGGCACTCCAAGTCTCCCTCGGGTGAGTACTGACCAGGAGCACAGCTCCTCTGCACACCGCTTTGGGGATGGCAGGAATATCCCTCTGGACACGCACGGCACCCAGCTCCACTCTCAAGGCTGAGGTAGCCTCGGGGACAAACCTGCAGTAGGATCACAAGGAGCATCAGATCCACGGGGACGCATTCTTTGCATGACCAGTGCAAGCCGCTTTCTCTGAGCCAAATCAGAGCCAAACAGTGCAGGAATATCCCGAACAATGTCAAACCAGACTGTAAAATCTGGGAAGAAGCCTGACGGTTCAGAATAGGTGGGAATAGAGGTAGAAAGCACTACTTACTGCTTGCTCTTTCCCCCTGTCCCCCAGCTCACCTGGCAGGCAGTGATGTCTGTTTGAGCCGTAAGTACATTGGCTGTTCCCAGTGGGCATTTCCTTGGAGCTGCTTGACCCCCAGGGCAACTGGATCAGAAATAAAGAAGTTGGAAACCTGACTCCAAACAACATCCCTGCCCCTCCTAAACACACACAGGGCACAAGATCTGCCCTAAGCAATAGCAAAGGGAAACTGGCTTTGCACATTCCCCACTCCCATTGACTTCGAGGGTTGCTCCGGATGCTGTAGAAAGCCCTGGATGGCAGTTTAAGTCAAAGACAGTGGATTCCTCATCACCTATAAGGGACCGGGCACCTCACTTTGTGCCCCACCTCCTGATCTGCATTATAAGACTGCTCTCAGGATATTCTGAGTAAAAATGATGTCCCCAGTGTTCAACTCCCTTCCTGCAGTGCCGAGCAGGAGGGAAGGAAAGATGGAGACTTACTAGAAACCTGTTGGACATTCCAAGCAGTTTCCAGCTGTGTAGTAATATCCCTGCCTGCAGTCTATGAGGCAGTGGGTCTGGCAGTCTGTGCTACAGCCTGGGGAGAGGGAAAAGGCCCCTAAGAAGAAAGCAGAAGAAATAAATGAAGGTACAAATTCATGACTCTAAGTTAATGCCCAGTTATTATCACACCATAATGTAGTATCTGCACTATTTTGTCATCAGTGTCAATGGCACTAATAGTACTAGAGCAATGACTTTTACTGTTAAGAACATTGCTTTGCCTTTATAGAAGAATGGTGGTTATGAATGGGACACAGCACTCTACCATTTCACCCAGCCCTCTTGAGGATGTCTCTTGACTTCATGTTCCAGAAGAGAAAGGTGATGAATACAAAGATGCTGAAACCTGAACTTAAAGAACAGAACAAACCCTGAGTTACTATTGCCCTTTTTGCTCTCCATACTTTCTATGTTGAAAACACTGACATGCTCAGGCTTTTTTCTCTCTTCAGACCATTAAAACCTCATGGTGAATAGATCCCCCACCTTCTCCTGCCTCCTCCCTGAATAAATTCCTAGAAAAGACTGGAAGAATGGCAGCTACATTCATCTCTTTATGACCAGAACAAGCCACATATATACATGTGTACATATATATATTTATATACACAACCACCATCTCTGTTAGCTCATAGCTTTCTGGAGGTAACCATATCAGCACCACTAAAACCAAAGTAAAACCAAACCAGACTAAACCAGAAGTCTGCCTGTATGAGAAAGTTATCCACTCACCTCTCAGCAAGATTCCAAGGCTACAGCAGACCATCAGCCAACTCCAAGCGTTAGCCATGGGGACTGGGAAAGAGTCCTCCAAACAACACCAGGCTTAGAGCTTATGTTTAAAACATTCCCTGAGCATCTGGTGGTGCTTTTGTTGAAGCTCAGTGTAACCAAACCCCTCCCAGGTAATCATTGCCAATCCAGCCTGAAGTGAAACCAACACCGAGCTGTGGAAAGAAGAGATGGCCCCAGAGCTCATCCCATGGGAGCTCCCCTGCAGCACTGCTGATGCTAAAAGTGAGGAAACCCATTTCAACAGGAGATAATGAATCCATACCTCCTAAACATCTGCCAGGCAGGGAGCTTGGAATATACTTGCCATCATCTTGCACACCTGTCCGGCTGCCCAACAAGATGACCCCATGAAAAGGACCCCATAGGGTCCCACGTATCTTCTTTTTCTTCACCATTCAGGTGAAATGCCCCCAGGATTCTCCCTGGTAATGTCCCCTACCCACTAGGTCAATTTTGCTATTCCTGGACAGCTCTTTGACGAGGCACAAGGCAAAATGCTTTTAGGAATAATATGGAAAACGTGAAGTTCAGTACCTGCTCCAATGAAGATTGTTTCTCTGTAAGTTACAATACGCTCTCTTTGTTCCATATTTCCTATAATTTCCTGGAAGCCAGAGACCAATGAGGGCTTTGGAAATAGTCTGATTCCTGATATAATTCCAGTCCAGGAGCCAGTCCAAGGCTGGTTGCTGGCTCTCATGAAATTACTGGGGTCTGGAAACCAAACAGATCCTTCTTTCTCCATACCACCTCCTAAAGAAACCTGTACAGCTATGAGGGGTCTGCTCACCTCTGCAAGCCTTCCGGAAGGGAGCTGAGGACAGCTACAGAGGTCAGGGAACACAAAGCTCCTGGTGGGAAGGGCAGTCCCCTATGCACACATGGAACTCCATGGCTTCAATCTTCCCAGTTGGGACCAGAACATAAGGGCCACATTATCCTTGAATTGCTCAAGTCCCCTGATGGGAGGTTATGTCAGAGCATCTCCAGCCGCAGGGAGAACTCAAACCACCATGGCTGAACATGTACAAGGAGGCCCCATGCCTGCCTTCCTCCCTAGCCAAGCACCATCTGCTGCATTTACACTGCCCTTCATCGAATTCCTCCACTAGAACTCAGGTGTGTCTTGGGTATTTTCCCTATTCTACAAACAATTCCTGGAAATCTCTGCAATTCTCTTCTTTGCAGAGAAGAATTGCCAATTCAAAGCTCACCAACACAGTGTAAATGCAGGCGCCAGGCCAAGCACTTCTCATTCTCTTCCCCTGTTGACCTGCTTGTTCCGTGTACTTCAGCAAGCTCAGGAAAGATGGAAGATGCAATAGAAGGCAGCAGCGAGAAGACAAATGGTTCCATTCACTTTGCCTTGTTTCCAGTTCCCTAATTCACTATAGAATCCTCAGATTTATGTAGAGATAACTCCCAGGTCCAATTCACTCCTGTGGCATGCGCTAGAGCAAGGCAAAGAAGGATCTGCTGTTTCACTGCAGTCCCATACCGACCTTGTGCTAAGAGATGGTCCTTCCTCTGCTCAGCCAAGCTGGACCTCTGAGGGTCAGTGACTTGCTGGACATCACTCCCCCCCTCTAGTATAGATTGTGAACTCCCCACCTCTCAAAACAGGTTCTGACATCCCTGGGTTCTGCACCAAGCTTGAATGAACAACTCTGTGTCTGCCACTCCTAGTGCTGTGAGAAAGATGTGCCTCTGATGTGCTTCTTTCCAAGTGCACTGCTACAGTAGAACCTGGGGCTCACTCCAGAGCACTGCGATTTACTTCCACAGAGTAGCAGCATCACTCATCTGAAACATCACAAACCCCTGCACAGTTTATGCTGATGGTAAGACACAGCTCTCTACTGCTGGCTATAAAGCAAACAGAGCCTGGCTGTTATTTCATCCTCTTCTGTCAAGAAACAAACAGACACAGATTGAATTCTAAATCTGGGCTGCTGGATGCAATGCACAGGAACACGGAGTCACCAGCAAGGAAAATCAATAGGCATGTCCTCTTCTCAGTTGCAGGCATTGGAGGCCTACCAAGTATCAGCATATTCCTCTGGGATACAAACCAGCTCAGCTTCCAGAACAGATACACTCATCTTCCCTCCACCAATAACGTGACTATTGCTTCAAGCAGACCTGCCCCTGTTTGAAAAGCTCATATTTTTCTTCATCTGTTTGGTCAGTCGTAAGCAACCAGCCAGCTCTGCAGGACCTGTAGGACTACAGCTCTCTGTAGTCCTTCAGAGAGGAGGAAAGTACCATTCTTCTTCATTTGAACACCAAAAAATCCCTTCTGCTCAGCTCACAGCCAACAGCGATAAACTCCTGCATGTGCAAGCAGCAGCACTACCCACCTCAGGGCAGGTGAATGCACCAGGAGGGATGGAACAAGCTGGAACCTTGCAGAAAACTGCAAGCAGTCACCCTGAAATCAGTCACCATTTCCATGTAGGTGTTGGGAACCATTTCCTCAGCCATCAAGGCTGATAAAGCAGCAGTTTTCGAAATGGAAGATACAGAAAGACTCCAAATTGCACATATTTCAGCCCCAGCAAGCCTTGCCAGAGGAAGGGGGAAAAGGAGGCACAGAAAGCTCAAAACTAGGGGAGAGGCAGGAGGTAGAAAACACACTGGGAGCAGTTCTGCTGTTTATTTGCATAGATATAAGTCCTAATAGCACCAACAGCTTATAGAGGTTTCTCTTCAATGCAAAAGGAAAGAAATCTGTGACTTTGAATCAAACCAGCTCTTGGTTCTTGTATAGAATCAGGAACCTGCCATACAGCCCTGGAGCAACTTGAGCACTGATGGCAGAAAACACGAGGTTTAACCGAGTTCAGTGGCATGATCAATACATGCAAACACCATCACAGTCAGGGTGCCACACACACAGCACTGAGCCACCCCTCCCAGACACTTTCCTACTGCTGTACACCGGGTCAGGGCATCTGTCCGACTACCTGATTAGCAGATGCTTGTATCATGGGATAAGCCAAAGCAACAAGGCAAAAACAGACTGATCCTTGTCTTGCCGTGCTCTCCCCACACGTCTTGGCTGTCCCTGTAAACGTGTATGTACAAAACACAGCCCAGGGCTGGCCTTGGATGTTGTCACAGGGCGGACAACGCTTCCAGAATGCCATAAAGCCCACATCACCACAGGCTGCATTTGCGTTGGTGCACCCTGCCTCAGGCTGTGTTTGTTACAGTGATTACCTAATTACAGTGCAGTTAGTGGCAATTACACTCTAGTGAGACACTGCTGAAAACCCCTTATTTCTGTGTATTGTCCTTAGTGAGAAGGGGACAGGAAGGACTAAGTCCCTTTGACCTCTGCTGCCCGCAACCCTTTGCTTTCAGCTGCACCCAGCAGCAATGATAACTCCTGGTGTCTTCCAGTTCCTGATGGACATCACCCAGAGATGTGTTGTCCAAAGACACATCTGAAATCACACCCAACAGCTAACGGTGAGGGTGCCAGTGCTGGGAAACACAGCGAGAAGGTGGATTAACAAATGTGTTTGGTGCATTGCCAGAAAGTAAATCAACAGACAAACACCTAAAGGCTGTTAGTGACTTAGAGCTACTGCCTCTTGCTCCAGCAGCATGGCTGGATTGGAAACCCTTCAGAAAATGAACCCAGTGCTCAGCTACCAAACCAAGCTGATGCTGGAACTACCTAGAGGAAGCAGGACAAATGTGCAGAGCATCTGCCAAAGAGACCAAGGGAAGCATCTTTGAGTATAGAGTATGACAAACAGGGCTGGTTCCAGCTCTGTTATTGCCAGGACAATCTCAGGCTGGAATAAGACCAGCAACATAGAAAACAGTTTGGAAAAACAACACAGGGATGCTAAAGTCTCACTATAAGGCACCTAAATGACCCTGTTCAGACTGTGTTTTCAAGTGTGGTTGGTTGTGTGGTCCCTCAGCAAGGGCCCCAGTGCTTTTCTGTATCTCACCCAGGCAGTGCCTGCTAACAAGCAAGGGTAACAGTGCCCAGAGCTTGATACAGGATCAGAGAGCGAAACACAACAAGCAGTGCTGATCAACATGTTGGAAGCTGGAAGATCAGGAAAGGTCTGAACTGATTCAACTAACACGTATCAGGAATCCCAGGCAGAGGGATGAATTCCATCTCTCCCGGTATCAGGCTGGGATAACAAACACTTAATGCTAGTGAAGTGGTGCCTGCTTATCCTAGGAGAACCTGCTCAGTTTGCATGCATAGCACAGCAGTGGAGCTTCATTTCTCA